AAAAAAAAAAAAAAAAAAAAAAAAAGAAGGAAGAAAGAAAGATAACATACATACATTCCCAGTATAGATATGACAGTCTCTGAGGCAGCTTAGGTATGGTTGTTACTCATCATCTCATGCCAGAATTCTTAGAGCTTGTGACAGCTTGGGCTCACATATTTCTCCCACAGCCCTTGGTAACCACTCTTCAGATCAGAACTTCCATTTTGGTTAAAGTGCTACTCCTGCTTTCTGCTGCAGCAGGCAACAACACCAAAGCAATAGCTGTTCTGCTGGCCTTAATTGTCTGCATTCCCTGATTCCATTTCTCTGAGCCCCTGCTGCTCCTGAGTCACAGGCTTAATCTTGTGTTCTACCAACTTACTTAAATTTTCAGGATATTTCCTTCTTCTTTTTTTAAATGAATCTTTCCTTCTTTATTTGTTTCCAACTCTTCTGTAAGTTACAGTTCATCTGATTACATCTGCCAGAAAATTCTGTTGATGGATGCTAAAGCTGCCCTTTCAAATTGCTATGGATTCTTTTATGTTTCCTCTGATCTGGAGAAGGTAGAACAGATAAATACTTGTATTTAGTTTGCCTCCTTGAGCCAGAAGTTCTTCTTTAATTAGTTTCAGTGAAGATTTAATGTACAACATTGGCCTACAAATTTACAGACTCCTCTTAAAGAAAAGCCAAATTTCTGCAGGTTCCTAGAGTACTGATTTAGGACAAGAAACATTGTACATAAAGCTTCCATTTGGGCTGGAATTAACTTTCTCTTTTCTTTCCCCCTTCCATTCCTTTTTTCCTACTTAGCAATAATGTTTATACTAAAAGTCAGTTCTTCCTCTCTACCCAGCATAACTTTGCTCTAGAATTTTTCATAGTTGTAGTATCTTACTCTAGTGAAAGATTTACATTCATCGTTTGCAGCTGATAAGTTTAAGACATGTTAACACAAAATATGGCACCTTGGCATACTGAATATTTTGAGTTAAACGAATTTGAGGAGCAGCAGGTATAGGAAGACCTTTCTGACCTTTTCCTAAAATAGATCACTAGCCCTTACGTGAGAAATGCCTTCCTTATGCATACAGAAAAGGAACATCTTGCATCTAAAGACAAGTGGATTCCAAAAGGAATCCAAATGAAAAGATCTGGCTAAGTTTTCCTATTTATTGTTCTTAGTTAATACCCTTTGTTCTGTCACATTTGTTCAAGTCTTGCCACTTAGCATAGAAATGTTTCATGTTACATTAAATAGCCAGGTAGATTGGCACACTCCTGTAATTCCAGCTACTCAAGAAGCTGAGTCAGGAGAATTACAAATTCTAGGGCAACTTAGCAAGACCGTCTCTTGAAATATAAATGGCTGGGGGATATAGCTCAGTGGTAAAATGTCTCTTGGTTCAATCCTTAGTACTGCAAAAACAAACAAATGTACCTGTGTGATTTTATTTCTTGTTAAAGAATCCTAACTGAGAAGTTAGAAGAGTGAAAGAAAGTTATTTTTCCTCTTCTACATGACTGTGTTTTGCTTTGTTGCTAATTGAAAATAATTTGTGCTAAATATTTAGAAAAGTCATATGTATGTTTTATCTGCCTGAGTATTCTGTTTTGCCTGATGTGAAGAGTGTTTCTGGGCTGGAGATTTAGTTCAATTGTGCCACCACCTGCCTTGAAAGTGTGAGTTCAATCCCAGGTACCAAAAAAAAAAAAAAGTGTTTCTGTGTTATAGCCTTATCAATAAAGACCCAGGGTGAGTCACACTTGCAGAAACTGCCAACGAGAGAATTTTGTATGTTAAATTTTCCCACACCAAAAAGTCCAGATGATTTAATATTGACGTAAAGACTTAGAGGTAATTTGATTTGCACCATATTAGTTATTAATTAAATTGAGAGATTTGCCTTGTTCATATTTTTAGCTTAAGTAAATTTTTGCTTAAGTTTATTTACATGTAATTTAATTTGTTAAAAGAGGAGAGGTTTATTTTGGCTTATAGAAATTTTATTTTAGAATTAATTTATGGTGACATAACTTCCATTTATAATTCTATCAGAACTTTAAAAATGATAATTTTATTTGAGAAAAAGAAAATTAAAAATCTAAAAATCCTCCTTTTGTTATATTTAAATAAGAGTGGCAAGAGCTGGTTCCCCACATGTTACCAACATAATCTGTAGGTAGGGTAGAAGTTGGCTTGTAGTTTACCATTGTAAAGTAATATACCACATTACAAAGTATTGGCCATGTCTAGGAGGGGTCCTAAGATGGTAAGGGCAGAATGCATTGCAGATGGGAATTTTGTTTTAAGCTTGCTCTTTCAATGTGAGGACTTCATTAGGACAGAGTATGAATCACAGTAGTGTAGTCTAGGTTTAGCAGAAGGAGCAAGGGTAGGATTTTGAGACATGGGAGAGAAAGAATCCAGACCATAAGCCTCGGTACTTTCCATTAAAGAGTTGGTGGGTCTTTTGGGAAATTCCTGTAATGAATAATCAAATCATTTGTTTGTCAGACCAGTCTTGGAGAGAAAAAATAAATGCTAACAGAGGCTGCAGAATAGTAAGATCACATGAAGGAAGGCAGTAAGGTGTGGTTTCCTTTTGAAATGCCCAGGCTGAGTGCGTGGTTAGATAGTTTTGGTTCTCAAGAGTTGATTGTGTGACTCTGCCTTTACTCTACAACCAAATCTCACTGGGATCCACCTAGAAAAATATTTCACCCAAAGGAGAAATGTTGATGGTTTAAATGGCATATTCTGAAGTCCTTGGATCATGATGTGAAGATAACACTCAGAAGACCAAAGACTTAAGAGCCAGTACCTCCACTCCCAGGCATGGACAGAAGCAAGAGGACCACCTAATTTAAGCATTATGTGAGGATATCAGCACTGGATTACAAACAAAGAATCAAGAGTAACCTCTTAGTTGTTCTTACTGCTGTAACAAAATGCTGTTAATTAGGTGGCTTAAATAACATTGATTTTTCACAGTTCTTCAAGCTAGAAGTTCAAGATTAGGGTATAAGTGTTGTTGGGTTTTGGGTCAGGGCCCTCTACCCCACTAACAGAGAGCTCTCTGCTTATACCCTCACATGAGGCTGGGGTACAGGAGAAGGAGAAGGAAGAGAGAAACCAGAGAAAGTGATAATTCTCCTGTTTTCTTATAAGGGCACTAATACCATCCTAAGCTCCACCTTCATGAACTGTAACTTCCCAA